TTACCCATCGGTGCTGTACATTCATTCTTCTCTTGAAGTAATGTCGAATAAAACAATTAAAGTTACTACAAAAAGAATACATTGTTACGAAGTTCTGTATGGCTAATCAATCGGCAAACTGTTACCTGCTTCGCTTTTGCGGATAATTTGTTCCTTATTTTAATTTAATTAATCTTAACCACTTAATCACCTCCCCAAGGTTTCAGCAATTTGATAATCTCTTGGAGCTCCTTCTAATTGGGTATTTAAACAAGTATTTTATGTTAAAAATTATGATCTAATCGTTAAGCGTCCATTTCTTACGGACACTAGCCAAAGTCTTCCACACAAATTCCATAGCAAACCACTGCACACTTCTTTTGTTTATCTCTTACGAGTTGAAGTACTCGGATCAAGTTCTACATTTGCATTTTGTAACACTGTCTTTCACAATTTCTATCAATTCTCCCAATGTTATTTTTAATGACATCGGAAAAACGTAAATCCTTCCCAAAAACCCTTTGCATGCCTGTCCTTCCAACTGCGTTCTCTGAAGAGGCTCTTATCATTAGGGGACGGATTTTAATGAAATGTCTTTTTTTCTTTTCACTTTAAAACATTGCCGTTTTAGTATTGATATCAAATTTAAGTTATGATAAATGAAAATTACCCGTTTTTATATGATTTTTTGTTGCACATTTCGTTAAATTCGAATAATAAATCATTTTTAGCATTTTCGCAAATTTCATCAATTTTAACATCTTTTCTTGGTACTTGCTTCAAATAATATTTACCAGAAACACAAATGATCTCCGCAGAATTCCTGAGTTTGATTTCTTCGCTCAAAAATTATGTTTACCGTTGTAAGTATGTAATTAATAAGCTGCGGATTAAAAGGTACGAAAAACTGTAGAAATGGGCAGGCAAAATAAGCACGTCAAAAGGTAAAATATGCACTGAAAAACGTACAATATGCACTAAATTGGTACTAAAATTTTTCGTATCCTTATTTATGTACTTATTTAGAAAGTTTCTGAAGGTAACATAATATTATTACATTCATGGAATATTTGCTTTCATCACTATTCTGATATCCTAGTAGAAATCCTATCATTGCCAGGGAAATTCGGACAAAAGACTGAATTGCAGGAGCTACAATTTAGCTTTTTATTAAATGCAAGCTGATACTCAAAAGCTACACATATGATATTTTTTCTCATCTTTAATCGAATCATAATTGAAAACATTTATTGATTTCTTTCAATCACACATAAGTAACTAATAATAACACAAAAGTAACTAATGGATCACCAACCGCACGTACTTTTTTGCATTATTTCCTTAAAAATATTTGCAATTTTAAAAAAATCAGTGTTCAACGAAAATGAGATGTGCACCGTTCTTTTAAATGTCCCTTGTTTTATTCGAAGAAGAAATGATGAAAATTATAGCAGTTTTGGGGAATTATATTTGTAATTTTGATTAGTTTCAAGCACCAATTATGCGAAACCATATCTTAAAAAATTATAAATCACCTTTTTTAAATCTATTGTTTTAGAACAGATTTCATTTAAAACAAAAATCACAATATTCAATATTGTACTTTTGCAATGTTAAATTTTTGCAATTTTCATAAATACAGGGAGTTTGCAAAAAAAATGAGACCGGCACCAATACGTAAAGTAATATGTAATGGCAGAAAAACGGAATATATATTTATTGAAAGTTGTCTCTGCACTGCGCAAGAATAAAACAAAAAACGTACTTTAAAAAAAGTCTGGCTAAGAATAATTCTTGTTGATCAATAAATACGATAATAGATAACATTGTGTCATTTAAACACAAAATAGGCACTAATAAGTTAAATGGGGATTTGTAGACACTAGAAAATTAGCATATAACGATCCTAATGCCTCAAAATGAATAAGTAACTCAAAGATTGCGTTTTCCATTGAAGGAAGAAAATAGGCAAATATTCGCAGCTTAGTAATTAAACTTCTTGACCCCCCCCCCTCAGCACTTTTATCGTTTTAGCCGATTTCGCTACAACTAAAGACAGAGATTTCCGGGTAAAGAACAGTTCAAACTAAAAGTTTCCCGAGCTGAGTTTACTTAAACGAAAGGAAGATGCCTCGATTATATCATCAACATATGCAACAGCTTGAATTATTCATAATGTTTTTGATCATTTTTAATGTCATTTTTATTTACTTTTAAAGTATTTATTAAACTTTTAAAAGCATTTTACTGATCATCTCTGGTGATGTCATAGTTCATCCAACTCTGCCCCCTTCTTATCATCGTGGTTGGCAGAAAAATGCTATTCGCAGAGCGATGCTGCGTTCCTGGGCGACGTTCGGTGGTGTGAGAACCTGTCGAAATGAAACTGGTGCCGCTGGCCCCTGGCGTCGTGCGGGTTTGCCACGGGGAGAGCGGGGGCGGGGGCGGGGCGGGGCGGGGCGGGGGCGGGCGGCGGGCGGGGCGGTCGCGTGGTCGCTCGAAGGGCGCGCACGCGATACAGCCTCCGCGCGCACCTGCGAGGGCTCAAAGGGCGGAGGGGAAAGGCTCGAGAAGAGCCCTTGCGGCGGCTGCGACACGCCGGGCGACCGCCACCGCCCCGCCCTTCGCAGGGCCAGCTGCCCTGCACACTGCCCAGAACAGTGGGCAGAGAGGCGCGCGAACCAAGCAACAACATAGCAGTAATTACCTCTGTAAGGTCGATCTATGTAACTTCTTTGCTCGCATTAGGCCTTTCTGACGTCTTTGGGGTTACACGTGTTTCAAATGTTCATGTCTGAGTGATATATTCTCGCCACGTAAAATAAGGCATTAATTCAATTCAATATATTCGTCTAATTTTAAGTTGGAACCCTCACATATTTCTCAAATGTAAGACAATCTGCTGAAGACCCCAATAACAACCATTTAGGATGAGGTTTTACTGAACTTCAAACTGTTGAATCTTTTGAAACTTTACAGTTAACAATGAATATCGGACCTGTGCATCTCTAAAAGTGTATTTTACACTATTCGTACAGGGATTTAAAAGAAAAAAGCTAAAGCGATTTTGAGGAAATTTTTAAAAAATGACCCAGCGCTTCATATACAGTATCGCGTAAATTAAATGAATTATTTTTAAACTCGCAGAGCTTCGAGCCGAGAAGATTGACTGAGGAATATTCCTGTTGGAAAAAAATCCCACTGTACTTTAGGCGGTAGTGCTATTCACAGAGTGGTGGGTGGACTGGCATTTAATAAAAACTACTTTCTCGGTATCAGAGGGCTCCAAAACATGTATTTCCGTTGAAGTCTCGAAATCGATTTTCCGCAGCATTACATAACTTCCTCTACTATCTATATTAATTGGCATTTACGAAGGTATACGAGAAAATAAACTAGTGGTACTGCAGAATAAAATAGACTTTCTCGATCTACGAACTTCTTCTTGAATGATATTTCTCATCAATTGGGCCAATTTTTTCAATTTTGCCCCTTCGTCTTCTCAATTGCCATCTATTGCCGCCTACTTTACCATATGGATGTCCCCTGCAGGTTTTGTACGTGACATTTTAAGGGTTTTGTACGTGACACTCGTGAAGTCCCAGGCAAGGGTCGGTTTAGTTACCGCCAGACCTCTGTGCTCAACGTCATGCTGGTCGCTGCGTTCAGAAAAATCCTAAAGATCTTTTAAAAATCCAACTTCATTTTTAATACTGCAACTTTGTTCACAATTGCAAAAAAAAACAATAAGAAATTACATAGTGATTTGAACGTGTATTATTTTTTAATTTAAATATATTTCTTATTTATTTTCTTCAAATAGAAATATATGTTGTGTTAAATAATGGTTAAGGAGTTTTTTTTTTACATTTGAATTCCCGTAGTGCTGGAGAAGCGAGAATTTGTTGTAATTAGAGCATTCAACGAGTGAGCTAATGACGCGACTAAGAATTGACTAGAACTAATTTATAACTAATTAGTAGGCCATTCAGTTGCACATTTTACGGAAAAGTTATTGCATTAATGGTTCAATTTTTATTTAGCATCTTTTATTTTATTGTGTTCTTGGTTTCTAATTTTTATTGCAAAATATTATGACCACAAAATGCCTTTTCAAATGTTTGGAGCGATTAATTTTGTTCAAGAAATAAAACGAAAAGGTAACCTCCCTTAACTATTAGAATAAAGAAATGAGTATTATAAAGAGAAATGACATATTATATCATAAATGAGATAATGGCTAATTGTTTATATTATGTAATGTGTAAAAGGAGTCCAATTACGTAAACGAGTTTCTGCGGGACGATATTTACGTACTAGGTTGAAATGGAAGGTGCTCGATAGGTTGAAACAACGCGTGGGAAATGTTTGTGGCTTACGCATGTGAGGACTGGTTGAATGGCCAAGCTACTGTGAAGATACTTATTGCTTAGGTACCAAGGGCAGGGATGCCGCATTGGGCGAAAATCCGCTATTTGGGCGAAAAGAAGGCGACGACTTGCGGAGGAAATGAATTTGGCAGGTTTTCGCCAAATGTGCACCTTTTCCTTATAAAAAATATCCTTGTGAAAAATATCGATGGGGGACTGATGTTCTATCTACAAGTATTTAAGCTTTGAACATCGTGCAAATGTGCAGATATGAGAGCGTATTCGGAACGGGGAGGCGATTCGTACGAATACATTATATGAGAATATATATTATATTAAGAACAGATATTAGAGGCCTCTTCATTTTTAATTTAAGAGACATGTGAGCATGCCAATTGTCTTTCTAAAAATGGTACAATTATCTAAATATTCATGGCTTATGTCAGGCTGGCTTTATGTACGAGGGAATTTACATGTAAACATCTTATGAAAGAGCAGCTAATTTCAAATTACCATCCATTTTTTCACCACTCACGAAATTGGCGGAATTGGGCGAATTTTTGTTCCTTCGATAGCAGATTTTGCAAGTGGGGATCTGGCAATCCTGAACAATCCTGAACAGACAGTCCCGCACGCGCGTTTTAGCTCCGTCTAACACTCGTTGCGTCGCTGACCACAGGCAAGTGGCGACGGCGACCAGCTGCCATTGCCGGGAACACAGTCACATCGCCGTCCCCAGGAACGGCCGCTTCCACCGCCACCGCCATTGCCACCCACCACTGCCGTCGTCGCTGCCGCCGCCACCACCACCATCGCCACCACTGCCATCGCCACTTCAGCCTTCGCCACCGCTGTCGCTACTACCGCTGCCTCCGCCATTGCCATCGCCACCACCATCGCCACCACCGTCACCGCCGCCACCGCCGCCCGCCATTGTCGCCGGCGGCGTCCACACAACGGCCGCTCTCCCCCGCGAAGGCGATCTCGGAGGGCGTTGGGGGCTGCTGCGGCCGGGGAGATCTGGTTCTGGCAGAATAGAACATCCCGACCTCATTTCAATGACGCACATTCCTCCTCTCTCCGCTCTTAAAACAATTTAAAATCAACGTCATTAAGCCGTTATGCGGCAAATAACTGGAAGTGGTTGAAGTTTGTACACCGAAGGATAGCCGAGATTTACAATAAAGTCTGTTGTGATATTGGTAGAGTGTTCAAGACTTTTCCTAATACCAGCTTCTTACATGCAAAATTAATACAAATACGAATTAGCATTTGTTCAAGTAGGATATCTCATCCACATTTTTTAGCTGCAACTCATTTCAATCCTAACGGCGAACAATAAATACTAATGAACGCCGGACGTGGGTTTTTCATTCCTGGTAGTGTTAAATAGATGTAACAGACCAGTAGGCTTACTAAGAAAATAAATATATTGTAGCTATTGCCTGAAATAACCAAACAGCAGTATCTATTATAGCAAGCAATAAGACAAGAAGTGAACGTGGATAGTGTCGTGGTTCTTGAAGTTTGTAAGATTCGAACGAGGTTTTGTCGACAACATAAGAAAAAAAGTATACGATGAGTATTAAGATACATAGATACATATTAAGATTCATTTCAAGATCAAAGTATGGAATATAATAAAAAAGGCCGATTTTAAAGTTCATTTCGGTTTCAGAACTGCAGTTAATTAGCATATTTTGCAATAAGAGTAATTTTAATTTTTCCACCAATAGTGTAGTGTATTATAATATCGGATCGAAATATTTTGGAATAACTTCATCAATATGATATCTAATCCATGTTTATACACTGCGTTTCTAAGGTTTTTTTGAACTAACTGTGCACACTTCACGATTAAGGTCTCTTATTGCCATTACAAAGATGGAGCAGTTGGAGAGGAGATACGTACAGCTTTGTATCCCAATATCGGAATGTCTATCTGTATGTGTTACTCATATCTCTGCCAGATCAATGAGTCGTTTGCAAAGAGAGAACGAAGTCGCACGCCTTTCCCCTTGGAGATCCAAGTTCGATTTCCGGACAATCTCATGTGAAATGTGTTCCAACAAAATGGGTTTGCCCTTCCTCCAACTCCTATGAAGCGACATAAACCCTACCTTCCCTAATAATTTCCCAATTCTGGCCGCTGGGTACTGACGCAGGAGGGCGTGTTAAGAGGCGGAGATGCTACCTGGCGGTCCTCTTGACAACTGACCCGAATTACGGACCATAGAGTTATAGTATAATTAACGGAGAATTCTTCCATAATAGTAACATAATTAATGAAGAATTACTCCAAAAACGCGTTCTACGCCAAGTTCTTGGCATAATAAGGAACCTTGTCACGGTGAGTAGCTTTTGTGCTTCAACTTGGTAAGTATGTCAGGAGTAGTGAAGATCTTATTTTGTCTTTCAATTTGTTTCTTCAATATAAGGAAATGTTTTTACAAATATAGTTTCGTTTCCCATTGACACCTCTGATTGTTTGAAAATTGCAAAAGTTCAAATTTATTTTCGAACCTGACCTACACCTCCAATTTTATTTTCTACTGTAAATACATTGGCATCATCATATATTGGATGGGTTCTGGAAATTTGGGGATGTGTTAATCGTAAATAGAGAAAGTGCTTAACTTTGTACAGGTATAGAAGAGTAAATGTTTGAAATATATTTTCCTTTCATTTCCTTTTTTTAAATTTTCTACACAAAGAAGTTCCTCTTTGCCATGACAATTATCAAAACAAATTGAATTACAAGAATCGAAGTAGAACTGTTACAATATCAAAATAATAAAATAGAAAAATGTTCCGTACCGGTCGGCTGACTATCAAGGGTAACCGTTACTATTTCAAAGTACACTCTTTAAGTGTCCCTCTTCATAAGTGTGCGGTTTTGAATCCCTATGCATGAATGAATATTCGTTACCTTTCGCGAACAATACCGTCTTCACAAACAGTGGACGATTATTAGCACCGAGGCACATTTCTAAAATGATTGATTGATTTGTGATCCCAACTGCTAAGGTCAACTGAAAAGGTCATTAGTCTAGTAAGTGTAGTGCATGTTTTTATCGGGGGAAATGGCGGTGATCTTCACCCGCTCGATGGTGAAATCTAACGCCGACCTACGTCGTCTTGTGGTGATGTTTCCCTCAACCAGGTATCTCTCACCAGTTTCTTTTACGGCACTTCTCCGGTATTCACCTGATGTTGATCGGAGAAACCACGGAAAACTCCCGATCGGAGCAGTCGGCCGCTAGATTTCTCCTCCAGACAACGACGGAATTCGAACTAGCTGACAAGCCAGTGATGCAAACTCTGCCATCGTCGGGAGTGGAACCGTATGACCTCCCTGTCAGAGGCACTGCAGTGACATCAACTGACTCCCTGAAACAGCAAAGCGAATCCTCTAAAGCGAAATGTGAAAGAGAGTAGCGCAGTGTCGCAGTGCTACTTCTGTGACGCAACGCCGATGGCAGGGTGGTTGAGGCGGCGGCCACGAGCCGGAGGGAGCAGCAGCTGCCACACGCCCGAGGGCGAAGAAGACTGATGACGGCAGCTGTAATGCATTGGCAGAAAGTAAAAAAGGCATGAAACGATAATGAATTAGTTTTGAAAAGTTGAGAAAGGGGATTTGGAAAGTTAAAAGAGTTGAAAATGATTAACTCATAGGTTTCGGATTTTGGGCTGTCACTGCCATCGCATAGCAATAGAATTAGGCCACAGAAGAATTCTGTGAATTATTTCATTATATAACGTATTACAAGGTGATGTTTGCAATATAATGGACAAACAATACACTTTTATATAATTATCGATATATAATATGATAATGTAGTTTAACTAATTAAGGTAATAAGGTTTAAGTGTGGGTTTAGGTTAGTGAAGGTAATAATAGTAGTTTTAAATCGGGTTTCAGTATCCTTCTGATAAAGAAACATTTGGAGTATATCAACAAATACTTGTGAAACTAACTGTATTTTCTTATAATATCACCTTTCGAATGCGCATTCTAACCTTTACCGCGTTCAAACTTTTCAAGTAACAGAATTCGAAAGGTTAGATTGCGGTAGGATGAAAGTATTGTAATGGCTTGAAGGTCTTCGGACCTAGCCACAAATTATCAAGTTATTCAATTTATATGTCTAATGATTACCTATTAAATAAAAAGTATAGTCTTATTTACATCATTATTTTCGATATTAACAAATAATAGAATAGTCATTTAATGTTAATTCGTGACCCAATAACCAAGCCTGAATGCATGTTTTAAAAATATACAAGACGTTCCTTCATCTACTGGGTAATTGTTTGCAATTTCTTCTGATGAACACATCTAAACTTGAAGATTGTTCACTTTGCGTGGCATTTTCAGAGCAAATTCATAATCAATAAATCTAGAAAAATTACATTTCCGAATCATAAATAACAAATTATGGAAGAAATGCATCTTTTGAAACCTGGGATTTTCTTTGGGAAGAGAGGCGAGCATTTTTGACCTAGTTTGACCATATTATAAATTGGGTGAGTTGAGTAAGAACAGAGAATATAATACATTAGATAGTTTAGTAATCCACGATTTTAAGGAATCCACGGATAATTGTTGTAGAATTTGTTCATTTCCGAGAAGTCATTTAGTTTTTAATACGTGCAGCTGCCCTGCAGAGAGCAGCATTGTTCGCAGCGGAGGGGGCGGTGGCGCTTCCAAAGCAGGGCCCGGCGACGGGGGACGAGTGGGGACGCCATAGCGCTGGCCGGAAGGGGGGCTCACTCCCCTCCCAACCCTCCTCCCCACCCCACCCCGCCACCCCGACCGCCTCGTTACTCGCACTGCTCGGCTCGGCAAACTGATTCGGACGTCCAGCTTCCTCCGTGACGTCAGCGGTTTAACTCGCAAAACCGCATTTCGGTCGCCAGCGAATGCCTCGGACGCTTTCTCAAACCAAGTCCTTTTCAGCCCAGCTGAATCAACAAACTTCATCTGAACAAACTTTCTCGCATTATTTGTAAAGGCTACGCAATACTGTACAACTACTACGCGAAGTTGCAAATGTGTTTCCAACAAGCAAAAAAGTGCCCTACTGGCCGAGATTCGAACTCAATCCCAGTTAGCTAGCCATGCGCTTTACAGCTACGTCACGCAGTCGCTCGCCCACACTCATCTTCACCGACAATTAAAACAAAATCGGTCTCTCCCATTAATTGTAACTTATGCAGTTTTTTAGATCTATCGATTAATTGGTTAGTGAATCCGGGCACCTGAACTGCTAAGGTCATTAGTCCCGTACGTGTAGGAACTTCCCTCGCCGAATGGAGAGATCTGACGCCGACCGGCCGGTCGGCTAACGTTGACCACAGTTGAACAGACGTTTTGCCGTCAATCGATTTTTCGGTCTCAAGACCCACAAAACATGGAATCTGACCGCACAACGTATTAGAGGAAGTAATTTACTATACATTCAGAACAATATTTATAATTTATTTATTACTAGAGCCCGACAGAAAGAGTTTTTCTGTCGTCAAATTGCCAATTTCCGCCGCACGATTAAAATACTTTCTCTTTACTGCTTGCGTAGTAGGGGGAGAAAAAATTTAGAACTGTTTTAGAAGCAACCTTCCTTACATTTTGAAGGAAAATCTCTGTTCTTGATTAATACCTGCTAGAAGGTGATAATTTCACATCTATTTTGTTTACAGAAGAGTTTATATAATAATTGTGCTACTTTTTAATATTTCGTGGTGACTTGTGCGTAAATTGTTGCCAGTTTGAAATCGAAATGTGGCAGTCAAGATTTGTTTTGGCTTTCAAAGATGAATTAGATCAAATTAGACCTGATATTTAATGTAAAAAAAGAGTTCAAAACTGCATGTAACGTACTTCGGGGAAACGTGTTTATATTTACAAATATAAACCAAGTAACCCAGTTAACAAAAAATGTTTGGAAACAATTTGAGGACTTTTGTAAAGAAATGAAATAGAAATTAACCGCATTTACGACAAATGAATAGATAGCAAATATTTG